TCATTAATTATGATTGATTGTTGGACCATCTGCTACTGTTATAAAACTCTACTTTAGCTTGGATAGCTATAGAAGCGTTTTTTAGTTTGTTTAAACTAATTATTTACACCAAGGTTTACTCAAGGTTCTAGAAAATGCTTTTTTTTCTTCGCGTGAAGAGTTGTATACTGGCAATTTTTGTGATTTATTTTTTCGGATAAACTGCTGTTTACTCACTATATCCGGAGAAAGATACAAGGCTGAACATTTCCACATAGAAAAATGGCGAAAAAGGTTGACTCTGCACTCCCTACGCAACGCTGTCTCGAAGGATTGTGTTCGGCACAAGTTAGCCAAACAGGCTCGTACAATTAAAATTTGTATTCTTATGCTTTACTTTGCAATTTTGGAGCTCTTTAGGATTTGCCTCCTGAGAAAATATGCTACCCCTGCATCTTTTAAATAAATAAAAATAAATGACGCCAACAAAAGGAGAAGTGCCTCTCAATTTGAAAGTGGAAGAGTTTTAGTATTATTTTTGTTGCCTAGGGTGAGGAGTACGTGATGTCTTTTTATGAAGCATATTACCTTGCAATAATAAATATTTTAACCAATGATACTGATCAATTCAAGATGTAAGTTATAGCCCAAATAAATCCGGTGATAATTCTCCGACCGGCATTCTTGTTACATTCAATATGTCATTTTAGTCTTGCATTCTTTCCAAATCCTTTTGCGCTACCTCTGGCATACTAATTAATAATGTTTAAGCACAGTATATATTGAGGTGGTATTATTTAAAAATCGGTTCAGTATACCTCCTCCTACAACTAAAATATAACTATTAATATTCTCGTGATTCTTAGATGTTCTTTATAAGACAATTGCGCCGTAACAAGTCCAACTGTCAAATTTTTTATTCGGCCTTGCAGGGAATTATTAGATTTCCTAGGATATTTTGAATAAAATGGAAATAATATTTTTTTCTTTAGTACCATCGTGAATACTTATACAGTGTGTAACAAAACTTTGGAACGCATCGAATATATGACGAATGTCTCATCTATTTTTCTTAAAAATTGGTAAGTTTAGCTTAGAAACCATGGCGGATCTGTTGATGATATTCGCGATGTTGCCAAATCTACAGTTTTTCAGAAAGTGGTAAGAACTTTTGTTTTTCTTATGGAATGCTATATATTTTATTCGATACTTCTATTCTGCAAGAAAGTATGAATACTGTTTATTGAATATGCTTTGACGTAGACCTCATAGTTTTCGAAATATTCGCAGTCAAACAATAATATTGAAACACTAAAAGTTATTTATATTTCTGACATTTAAAAGTCCATTGAGTTTAGTTATTGAGAATGATTCATTTAACTGAAACCGAGAGTATAGAAATTCTAATGATCGTAGACGCACACAGCAAGAAGTGTGAGGTATGTTTAATGACAAATATCCCAACCGGAATCCAATAACAAGTTCTACTATTGGAAAAGTTTTGAGGAAATTTGAAATAACAGGGCATGTAAAGGATGTTCCACGATCTAGCCATCCCAAAACGCCCACTGACGGAAATAAGGCTTTTGAAAACACTCACCTCTACTAGAACACTTCGTTAAGATAACAATTCATCTCACATGTCTGTGGAATGCATTTTAAAGACGGAATAATTCCATCCTTACAGAGTCACCTTGGTTCAAGAGCTATCAGATAATCATTTTGATAGGCGTTTACAAATCTGTGATACCATAATGGACATGTGTAATAGAAATGAACATTTTTAGTATGAAATATGTTTTTTTTTGAGTGGAACTATTAATCGCCATAACTGCCGCTACTGGGCCAGGGAAGATTCTCATTGGGTAGGGGAACATCATACACAATATCCAAAAAATTTTTTTTGGGCCGGTATCATAGGTCATTTAGAGTCCGTTTTTCATGGAAGAAAATTTAAACGCTGAAATATAAATGCATATTTTGAGGAATCACGTTGTCCCAGCTTTGGCGGTAATATTACCCAATCCTTGTAAGTAACTTTAATTACCACAAACAATAAAAAATATCAATATTGTTTTTTTTAGTAAATAACACAGTGCCCAACGATAGAATATGGCTTCAACAAGATGGTAGAAAATGAATTCAAAAGATTCGAAGAAAGCGGATGTCTTCAAAATGTTCGCATTTCCGCAATATCTAGTTTATTGCCGAAAAGTATGTGGACGGAAATTTAAACATTTAATATGATTTTTATTATGTTTTGAAGTTTAAATTAACAGCTAGATTTTATCGTTTTCTTTGTTTTTAATTTCTGTCTTGTTTCCTTGGTATATCAAAAACACTATTATAATCAATATTAGAATTTCAGTCCTCTTCGTTTTAGTTCAATATATCATCTTTATTAACTCCACTAATAAAATTCAATGAACTTTTCAATACCAGAAATGACAGGAAATTATTTTCCATAGCAGTCATTGCTTAGGAAAAAAAATACCTGTTAGTTACCGTTATTTCGAAAACCTTGAGATATACGTCAAAGTATGTTTAATAATAGTATTAAGAATTGCTTGCCGGGTACAAATATCGAATAAAATGTATAGCATTCCATTAGAAAAACAAAAGTTGCTACCAGTTTCTGAAAAACTGTAGATTTGGCAACATCGCGGATGTCATCAACGGATAGGCCGTGATTTCGACCCTAAACCTACCTATTATTAAAAAAATGAGATGAGTTATTCGTCAGATATTTGATACGTTCCAAACTTTTGTTACAGGGTGCAGATGTTTCCGATTTTTTAAAGCCTATAATTTGAAAAGTACACGGCTTATATTTTTTGTATATATTTCTGATAACTATTATCACTTGGCCTATTCCCCTTTTCTGGCTTGACGTCGACTTCTGGGATGTATATCAAGTCCCAGTGAAAAAAATTAAAGAAAATAGTTTATTTTCTTGAAGCGATTTGCTGTTAGCTCGTATTATAATTTTAACGTCGACGACCGAATTCAACAAAGCTACAGACAACGTTGACGAAATAACGACGCGAGTGACCCTCCGCCGCGTCTGTGTTCTTGAATTCGGTGGGTTTTAGTGTGAGAAGGGAGAGAAGAAAACTTTTTAATGATTGGCCTTCCAAAAACCATGGCGTCCCATGGTCCACTTACCTTATAAGAATTCGGTTTTTGTCTGTTTGTTTATTTTCTTCATTGATTTAACACAATAAGCTTTATTACTCAGTCAACCCTGGTCAAGGGCGGATTTAGGAATCTGTCTAGGAGGCGGGGCGCAGCGGTGGTTTATGTTGAGAAAGATGTTCGTCTCCGACGGGTGGGGCTTATCGACGAATAAAAATTGATAAGTGAAGGGGAGGGGGGCGTCTGCAAGAGCGGAGGTGGCATTACGTCTAGGCTAGAGGAAGGGGCACATCTCACGATTCTGGTCCAACAAGGTACTTTTTATATCAAGACACAAAATTACTGACTGGGGCGTCTGAGAGGGGCTCCCCGTCGCCCCACTGTAAATCCCTTGTCGCTGGCAAAGATGGCAAAAGCTTCCGTTATGAGCTTAAGCATTTCTGTGCCCAATTTTACTGAATTACTTTTGTTCTTTGTTTACAGAGTATACAAAACCATATTCCTCAAGAGAAGCCTGCTAACCAAACTCCTGGACAATCACCCTCACCGTTCGAAACAGCGCCCAGCATCTCGGAAACTCTATCCGATGACGAAACTCAGAAGAAGAAAAAATGAAACGGCTGCTGGATCTGCAAGTGAGTCAGACTCAGAATCCGAAGATGACGATGTTAGAGAGTTGGAAGGACGGACGATGTCTGCTAAAGGCCAACAGGTAAGCGAAAAAATTAGATTGATACCATCACATTTAAATAGGCATTGCCACAAAATCCATAGGGCACCTTTCCTATTCTAAGAAGAAATTATACTGGTCAAAGATGTTTTCGTTGTTGCTTGCATGTGGTATTTTCATATCTTGGCAAGAATTACTTGAGCTTTGTAATACAATGGACACTTTTTCTTACAGATTGACAGGGCCAGCGCTGCAAACGTTAAAAGGTCAAAAGAAGAAGCCAAAGCAGATCCCGAAGAAGAAGACGACTTTGGATATACTATGAGTGAGTTTTCTTTTGATTGATATTATTTTTAATATTAATCCCTACTAGTAACATAGTCCTGAAAGTTTTGATACAAAGGGAATGGAAAAATAAACTTTTGACAAAAAAATGGTAGTAGTAACTGTAACAACCGTATAACCATAACTTTGACAAAGTATCTCCCAAGAAACGTGAAGCTGGTATCAACGCTCATATTTCATTTTGAAACTCTCTCGGCTCCTTATGAATGCTCTAATTATTTTTTATTTATACGAAAGAAAAACAGTGGCGTACTACTAAAAAAACAGTGGTGTAGTATTTTTATTTGGAAAATAATGCCACTAATCCCCTGTATCTCCGCCACTGCTGTACGTTAATTTTAAGTAAATACTTTTGAATGTGGACAATACTTAGGTAAATCCACATACCAAATTTTAGTTCATTTCAGTTGACGATTTTGAAGATATTAAAAAACCTCCCAAGTCCCACAATTGAAAGTTTCCAGCAGACAATAAAAACTGTGTCACTGGCAAATAAACCGGTTTTTATGACCTTTTTTAGGCATAATGTGTTCCAAAAGAATTAAATTTCGAATAGCTGTCCACAGTTTGCTAATAATAATAAATCATCGAAAAAGCCCGAAACACTGTTAAGACTAAAATTAGGAAAAGCTGCGTTCTTTGGGAGTGTATTTACATGCCGTAGAGAAACTTGCAAAAATTTCATGGTTATGGAAAAACTAAGAATTTTCTTACCTTATTTTAAGAAATACCAAAAAACTAATGGAACTTTTTCATTGGCACTTTTTAGGCACTACATGATGGTGTTTTAAAATTTTGTTTCCTTCTTCAGAAACCATCATCAACTTTATTTTTTTATATGGTCCGAAAAAAGTACACCCTGAATCTGATAGAATTTTGTTCAATGAATTCAATGATGTATCACATGTTTCATTTGTTTTCTTAATTATAAAAAAAATGCAGGCGCCGTGGCTATCCCTTGGTCTAAGTCCTTGGCAAATCCTGAATTTATAGGGATGTTATCTATTTTTACGCAAAATAATTGTGCTGTGGATTTGGCCAATCCTAAGTTTCCTCTAAAGATTCCTATTTTTCTAGACGCAACAGACTTTTCTTCAATGCTAAAGTGACCGCCTGGCATCTTTGACGATTATAAAACAATATTAACAATATATATATATATAATATATATATAATATATATACAGGATGACTTTGAAGTTGAGTCATTAATTTTCAGATAATGATTGTAGAAGGAAGATAAACCAAAATATGTGTGTAAAAATAAAAAAAAAAAAAAAAAAATTTTTACCTTGTTTTATAAAGTATCCTCCCGACAAGTATTTCAGTGCGGACCTGTATTTGATCGTGAGGTCTTGGACCACCGGCATGCCCTCCCCTGTGAGGTCTTAAGTCACCTGATTCACGAGCCCGTTGTACTACATTAACAAAGGTACGAGAGGTTGGTTGCACTCGATTGGGAAACCGATCCGCATAAACATGTGCCATTTTTTATTTCGTTTGAGCCACGCAGCAAACACCACTATTCACTCACGCGTTACCGACTGACACATTGATTGAATAAAAACATCGTGATCAGCGTTTCAAATTCTTTCGCTTTTTTGTTTCCGATGCGATGAATCGATAAGGCGGATTATATCCGTTGTTTCCAAACACGAGCACATAATATTATTATTGAGACAGGGCGGTACTCAAACTTCTAAAGGGCTATAACTTTGTTACTTTGATTTTACCACAAAATGTTAAAGGAAAAAAACATTTCTTTTGATCAGATCTACTCACAAATATTTGCAGGCACAGCCTACTTCTAAAAATTATCGAGATACTGACTTTTTAACGTTATTTTATCATAAATAATTAAAAATGTATCGAACCTTAAAAATCGAAATATCTCAAAAACAGCTAACTATAACGAAAATTCACAAGAGAGCTTTTTTATGTTGGAAGGTACGAAGAATCATTTTTTTATTCAAAAAGCAAAAAAATTGCACTAAGAAAAAATTTTCGGTCAGTTTAATATACTACAGGTGCAGTAAAACTATGTACATGGCTCGTTTTGTCGAACCAAAAAACCCTTGTATACCAATTTTCACTGTTATACATCAAATATTGTTCGAAAATTTAAAAAAAAACTATTTTAGAAAGTAAATTCAAACACCATGTATTTCGGAAGCCACGCATTTTTCGACCCATGTTTATATAGACTTTATGCATTAATTTTAAAAATTCTACCGAATCTTAAAGTTATGCAACAATAAACTGAAACACCCTAATCTTCATCTTGGACACCCTGTATAAATGAAGCAAAATAATCATATTTCCATTGTTTATTATTGAAAATTACAGTTAAATATTGTCTTCTTAACATGCCACATGTTTTGATTTTGCATGTATATATTTCACGGTACATAAGGGAAACCATGGCGAAGTGATTACCTGGGAAAGACGAATTCTCCGTTTTACGTCTAAACCATGAATCGAACATCGTGGAAAAATACACAGTTATTCTTTCAACTTTCTTCAATAATCGCCAATCGGTTGTTGACTACCAGACATAACATGTATTTGTTCAACAAAAAGTTGACACTGCATGATAGATGTAGTTAGAGAAATTCAATCGTTTTTACGAACCTCTATCTAAAATATTTAGCGTATATTTAAAGTCATACAAATGAGAAGGATTGAGTCAATGGCTTTGGCAGGAAACATGAAATACAAGTGATTTAGGACCAAGCAGATAATCTGTAATCTCATTTTTATAGTCAATAAATAATGTATAATTGGTGCATATATGTTAGCACATAAAAACGAAAATAAAACATTTTTGAAATGACTCATTCAAGTACCCGCGGTTTAAGTAGTGCGTGCAAAAAAACACGTAAGTTCCGGGCTTATAAAGTTTTAGCACTTAACGTTTATTACGTTATAAAAGTTGTTCACTCAGAATACGCATCTAACTATAATGTAGGTAAATAATGGACCTGGGTGGTTTTTGCACTGACCGATTCAATTGATAAATCGTACCATATTAAAAAATGAATGTAAGCAATCGTGTATCAAGATGATAAAAATGGCGAATGTGCTTAGCATTTATCAGATACGGTGGATGCGCGAGTGACACATTTAAAACATCTTTTTCTTTTTCGTGCGGCTTTAACTGTTATCGTATCTATAAAGTTCCCTCGTCGACGTATGCTATTTTAATGTGTACTTGCATGTCGCATGCACAGCAAACATGAAAATTAAAATGTGAGCCATAAAAATGAGTGAAGTAAGCATATTATGTAGAAGTATATTTCAATATAATGGGTTATCTAATATCCATAAGCCACCGATGCCAGTAATATAGCTGCACATTGTAACACAATCGAAAATTGACCAGGACGACACGTGGATTAAGGCCCGTATCGTCAGTCGTCCCTACAATTGTAGGGCGCCTTTATGGCCTCCTTGATTGTTATAGTTTTCTACTTCTCCGTGTCAGCGCTCTATTTTGAGGTTATGTCACAAACATCTATTTGCAACAAATTGTGCTTGCTTTTGAGTTATATCATGTTTTATCAGTCTGAAATTTCCTACAATTTAAAAAGAAAACATATCTTCACAATAGGAGAGCGCTGACGCTGACACGGGACAAGTGTAATCTAGAAATTTTTGCAGCCTGGCACCCTAGGCGATGGCTCTTTTGGCCCTAGGCTGAATACGCATGTTCTTAGTCCGCCTGACAATGTAACAAATTGCAAATATTTGGATGAAAATGATCATCCTCTCATCGTAATCGATTTCATTTCAGGGTTCCTGATAGTAGTGGCACCCATATTACGTAACTTAAAATGTGACATATCGGCAACGTAAACACCTGTATTTTGCTATTAAATACTCTTGGAACGAACCCTGTATATTGCTCAATAAACTAGTAGAGACAGGTGTTCTGGGATAAATAATTAGAAATTCTCAAAAAACTACTTGACCAATATACTCCAATTTTGGTGTTGTTATTTAGAAGTATGAATCCTACGGATTTGAAGAATTTGCGTAAAATTATCGTCGCATTACCAACAAGTGCCGAAACCTGCATTTTGCCTGGTTTTTAGGCAATAACATTTTCGCTATTAGTCGGATCCTTTTACGTGTAGTCACATTTGTTGGTCTCACAAAATACCTAAAAATTGTATATGAAAGTTCTTTAGTTCCATACAACACTGTCGATTGATTCCCAGAAAACGCATTTTCGTATTCTTTGTTGACAAACAAAAAGTTTTCCCATAAAAATTGGTGTACCCATTTCATGCATCCATGTTTTAAATACCCCCTTGAACAACTTGCACCAATAAAATCAAACATTACAATTATTTCGGGAAAATTTGCTAATGTGATTAGACTACTATGGAGAAAACCAAACATTTAATTTGAAATGAGACATGTCAGCCCAACAGTGAAACATGGTGGCAGGAACGCTTCAGTCTGGGGCGTGACGTACAATGGTATTGGAAAGCTAAGCTTCGTCGAAGGAAATATTTTGAACAGCAGTGCTGAAAAATTGGGGATCAGAAGTTTTACTTTCATAGCAGGATAATGATTTCAAGCAGATCGCCACTAAAATAGAGGATGGTTTCGTTACAATATTTCTGTACAATCTCCCAACAACAGGTACAAGATGTTCTTATGCAGAAATTGGACCAGAACTGACACAGAATTTCCATGTCATGATGGCTTGAGGACATAACATAATTCATTCAAACGTTATGATAACAAAGTACTAGCTGTAAATAAATTTTGTTAAAATATATTTACTCTTGAACAACTTCCACCAATAAAACCAGACTTTACAATTATTTCGAGCAAATTTGCTAATATGATTAGACTAAAAAGAAAATCCGACTTCACGTAACCAGATTATACGACCCCTCTCAAACTGGTAAAGTTGATTGAAATTAGCGCGTCTGCGAATTGTAGGCATAGTAATGCAATGAAACATATGGAACCAACACAGAAAACCCACTGAATATTAAGTAAACATGTTCATATTAAAAAAGTGTGGCTCGGAGTGCCTTCAAC